GTTTCTTGAAAGAATTCAAATTATTCGTATTTTGCTCATAAAGCTTCCTCTATCAGGAAGCCATGTGTCAATTTTTAATTTGCACACTTTACTTTAATTTATTTTTTTCTAATTACAAATTTGCACATTGCTTCCATTGTTATGGCTTCCTCATAGAGGAAGCTTTATGAGCAAAATACGAATAATTTGAATTCTTTCAAGAAACTTCGTAGTAAAGTTAGATTTCTCTCATAATGCTTCATCTTTGAGGATGCCATAACATGAAGCAATGTGCAAATATCTAATTTGCCTACTTTAATGATGAGGAAGAAAGTTTGCAAATTTCCAATTTCCACGCTTCAAAAATGAGGAAGCAATGTGCAAATTTCTAATTTGCACACTTTCAAGAAACATCCTGCAAAATTAGATTTCGCACCTAAACGTTCCTCTATGAGGAAGCAATGTGCAAATTTCTAATTTGCACACTTTCAAGAATAATTGAAAAAATTAAAATTTTCCTCATAAATCTTCTTCTCTGAATAAGCCATGTGCAAATTTCTAATTTGCAATAACCGATACAAGCGCGAGTGTAAATCTGCAGTCCCTTCTTAATCATACTGCCAATCGATTATTGATGATAAATTCGCTTCAGACAATGAATCCACAAAACTTAGTTTTATACAGTAAGTGGGGTTGTGACGGTTCATCCGGACAAAGTGAATATAAACAAATACTTTCCGGAGAGAGTGAGTTCATTTCTAATGCCAATTTGTTAATATCATCTTTGGTTCCAATAAGACTAATTAATGAGGACACAAATGATGTTATTTGGCAAAATTCGACCCCTTCTTCCGCTCGATTTTGTCGACCTATTTCTATAGAATTTTCGAGAGACACCAGAAAAAACGAACAATCTTATTAATGTAATTGAAGCACAGATACGTGTACTTGCACCCACCTCAGCTATAGTTGGAGAGAAAACAGTGACGATAAAACATGAATTGTTCTTAACAATGGTAGATGGAAAGGTGGTACAAGTATTAACAAATACACCGTCTGCCTCAACTTGCACTGTATGTCACGCCAAACCATCAGAAATGAACGATTTGAATCGCATAATGCAAAAAGTTGCAAATGAAGAAACCTATAGATTTGGACTTTCCACGTTACATGCGTGGATTCGATTTATGGAATTGGTTTTACATTTATTGTACAACTTGTCCTTCAAAAAATGGTGTGCAACCACTGATTACACAAAAAAGAAAAAGAAACTAAAAAGCGATATATACAAGAACGGTTTCGAAATGAACTGGGTTTAATAATTGATAAACCACGCCAAGTTAGTGGAAATAGCAATGACGGCAATACTGCGCGTAGGTTTTTTGATAATGAAGCTTACACTGCTGACATTACAGGAATTGATGAAGAACTAATAAGACGATTTCATATTATATTGCAAGCTATGTCATCTGGAATACAAATAAATTCTCAAAAGTTTGGAGAATATGCTTATAGAACAGCAGAGTTGTACGTAACTAAATATGAATGGTATCATATGCCATCATCCGTACATAACAGATTAATTCATGGAGAGGATATAATTCGTTATAATGCCATTTTACCACTTGGACAGTTATCCGAAGATGCACAGGAATCGAGAAATAAAGACTACAAGAAGTTCAGATTACACCATGCTAGAAAATGTTCCAGATTTGCTACAAATGAAGATGTCTTTCATACATTACTTTACACATCAGACCCGTATATAACCAGTCTTAGAAGTAATTCTTAAAAAACTACCGTAGAATTAGACGAGGATGTATTACAGTTACTATAATATTAAATTAAATGTACGAGTAAATTAATTTCGTTCGAGCCCAACAACCACAGTGCTCACATGTATCCGCATGTGAATCCACGCATGTAACGTGGAAAGTCCAAATCTGTAGGTTTCTTCATTTTTCAATTTCGACACTGTCTCTTCCGACAACGATTACCCTCTTGTTGCGAGCGTTTTTTATCTTTTTATCCTTTTATCTTTTGACTTTATATCTAAATTTGCGTAGCGAGTCTTTATGTTTTTTCTTTTTATCATTTGACTTTGTATCTAAATTATATTTTATACTCTATTTTATTTATTTTATACTATTTTAAACTATTTATTTTATACTCTATTTTATACACTGAAGATGGTCTAGAGAAAGGCCGAAACGTTTGTATTTTTATGTTTTAAATATATGTGAATTTTATTATTGTGACACCTAGTCAAGGCTCTTAGCTCTTTTATTTCAGTGATTGTTAATTTGTTGATTCTTTTAAATAAATTTAAAAAAATCTAAAAATCTAAAAAATTAAAAGATATATTTACGTACCTAGAGTAGAACGGGGTAATGTGGTGCCCGTTTCGTTAGAGTGCTCATACGGCCGTATTTTTTAACCGATTAAGAAGATTGAGTATTCATTGGAAAGATAATGTATCTGGCTACATTTTTTATGAAGAGGTTTTTGTGTTGCACATAATGGCGTTGAGGTACGATCGAAAAACCGAAGGTACCTTTTTTCGACCTTCCAAAATTTTCGGGGTAATGTGGTGCACTATTTTCCGGGTGCAGTAAAAATACCAAAATTCGTCGGAAATAGTTGTGAACAGCTTTATTTAATGAAAGTAGGTATAATTAAACTTATATCAATGAAAATGAAATGAAAAGTAACGTTTTTTATATACCCGCGTTAGGTAGAAATACAAAGAACTGTAAAAATAAAAAAATGGTGCAATGTAGAGAAGAATTATTGAAAAAATTTTTTTCTTAGTGGCGACTTTTCGTTCGGTGCTTCAAAATGACTTCGTCTTCGTCTGCGTCCTCGTCGTCTCCGGAGTCGACGTTCTTTGCGACACTAGGACGGCCGCGTTTTCGTTTGGAGGCTGTCTTAGTGGCTGCATTTTCGGCGACTTTGGCTGACTTTTCGGCGGCTTTTTGTCGTTTCACCACCTCTTTTTCAATCTTTCTGTTGGCAGCCAACTGCTTTTTCGCTGCTTCAGCTACCTTCTTTTGGGCCGTTGCCTCTTGTTCCTCGCGCAAAGACTTCATCATCCTTGGGCTAGTCAGAAGTGCAGACCTACGACGTTTGCGACCACGACTGTTTGCTGTCCGAGCTGCAGCTTTTGGTAACGGCCGAATACCTTCAAGTGATGTGTCATTCGACACTTCAACATTGGCACCAACATCATGTTGCATCAATTCTTCGTTTGAAGCACTCGTCGGAACGAAGAATGATGTGTTAGGAGTTACTCGATCGAACGGCGGCGCAGGTGTTTCTGGATCGGAGAGCAGTGCAGGTGTTTCTGAATTGGACGCTAAGGTTGCTGAATCGGTTCATGTTTTAAGTGTTGCTGGACTGGCGTTGTCTTTGTACGGACGATCAGTTACAGATGACGCCAGGAAATCATCTTCTGTGAAGATGTCCCTGTTGAATGGCCAAATACCTGTAGCTTTAAATCCATTGACGATATTTATGGATGAGGCACCTTTGAGGATCGGCTCGGCAACGAGTTCGGCAACGTTTCCGATTGCAATCGGAACATTGGGATGATTGAACATCCACGCCTTGCACGCATTTTCGTAATATATTTTCAATGGGCCAAAAACACCTCTATCGAGTGGTTGCAGCTTGTGGCTGGTGTGTGGAGGCAGCGTCAACACGTCGATGTTATTTTGCTTGCAAAATTCTAATCCCGCAATAGCCATATGCGATTCATGGTTGTCGAGGATCATCAAAGTCCTTTTGGTCCCTGCTTTGATGGCGTGATTTTTAAAATGGTGCAGAAATTTAACGAAGGTGTCAGCGGTCTGCCAACCCGATCCATTCGCAACTCCTTTGGCACCCGCACTGCCGTGCATGAGAAATTTATCCTGCATCTTCACCCGCGGAAAGATGAAAAATGGTGGAATTTTTTCGCCGGCGGCGGAAATAGCCATCGCGAGAGTCACACTAGCGCCACGTTCGCCCGAACTGGCCGCTGCCACACAACGCTGACCTTTTTGGGCCACAACGTATTTAGTTTTATGAACTGTGCTCAGCGAACTTTCGTCCATGTTCCAAACATTTGCTGCGGTATATTTATGTAATTGCCGGATATTTTCGTACAAATCATAAAAATTCATTACGACGGACGCATTAAATGCTGCTGCTCGACCCAGCGATGTCGATACCAGTCGACGTAAACTCAGATTGGGATGCCTTTTCATGAAACCTTCCACCCAGTCCATGGAGGCAGTTGGTTCTTCATCTGGTTTCTTTGGGAACCAACTGGCCGGAATTTTCTTAATAGATCTGGCTGCTTTCAATTTCTGCGCAAATTGAAACGCAAGCTTACGAAGTTGCGGCAACGCGAGACCGTAAAACATTTTCGAGGATTTCACCAGATAGTCTTGAAGTTCCTGTTCCTGTTCCTCATTGAATACCTGAGAAGTGAAAACAATATGAAAAAAAACTTCAAAAACACGCTAGACGTTTATCTGCTCACTCGTTGTCCGACATGTGCTACTGATTTCGGTTTGCGTCCTTGCAACCGATGACGAACAGTTTGCGGCGCAATTCCGAATTGTTTTGCTGCGCCTCGCACACTGCTTCCAGCCTGGACAGCTTCTATTGCTTTATTTATATTATCTTCGTTCGGTTTTTGGGTTGTTCTTGGTCGATTGCGCACCATTTTGCTGAATAACAAAAGCAATAACAAAAATGATGATTTTCAAGTTTGCACCATATTGCCCCGAACCGAATGCACCACATTGCCCCGAAGCACTTTTGTCACGTCAAATTCGGCTTCTCGGTAAAAAGCGAAATAATCGCCAAAACAACACAAGATTCGTGTTAAGCGGGAAATTTCACTCAAGAAAATACTCACCTGATATTTTTTTACGTGGAAATAATATTTTTCCTGATGCAACGAAATGAAACATTTATCCTTCCGCCAACAAGTGTTTTGCAAATGAAGCAGTAATTTTTATGACAGATGTACGAAGGCGGCTGCAATGACTTGCATGAGCATCGTCGGTCACCACGCACCTACCATATCGATGGCAAGCAATTTGTTCTATTCGTTGAATTGGTACTGCCAATGCACCACATTACCCCGTGCACCACATTACCCCGTTCTACTCTACAGTTAAAAAAATCTCTTCATGATGAATATCTTAATATTAGTAAAGGGTCTTACGTAAGATATAATGAACTTGTTAGCATCCATATTACAAAATCTATTTATTACGTTTCCCGCCATTTTGGATCCACCACTTTTTTTACTTAAACTGCAGATTCGTCATTATCGACTATGCAACACATAATATTTTTTCGTAAATACATGCACGGTTTGTTACAAATTTACTCGCATTCGTACAGTTTTGACATTTTATGCCCACTTCATGTGATCCGCCATTTTGAATTTAGAACGAAATCAAAATTGGCGCAGGATATTTGTATAGCTTATTCAATTCCTGAAAAATGAAAAAAAAATAAAGATCCGTTAAGAATTGGCGCACGACTCGAATTTTAATCACAAAATGAACTTCTCGTCCCACTGTGCGACGCCCCGTCACCTCGTTGCGGACAAGTGGGACCGGCCCCCCATGCCAGGACGCACGTCCTGAGAAGGACGTCGCCCCGAGTCACAGGGGGTACCGGCCCGCAGCGTCCGTTGTCGAACCCACTATACTGTGGGCCCGACCCTCCTACTGCCCGCCCACCCAGTGACCCGCGCCACACACGGTTGTGCCACCAGGGTCGGGCCCACTCTCACCGCCAAGACAGGACCACGTCCAGCCCGGCGACGAGAAAGCCTTTCCCCCGCAACCCTGCCGGAACACCGGCGAGCAATGGATTGCGGGGGTCTCCTCGCGTCTTGAAACCCCGACCGCCTGCCGGAACACCAGCGTGCAATGGCGGTCGGGGCCAAAAGTGATGGGGAGGCGGAAAGGGATTGTCCCGATTGCGCACATAACCGATCGGACACGGCAATATTTCCCGATCGGACACAGTCCCGATCGGACACAGTCCCAATCGGACACAGTCCCGATCAGACACCGTTCCTATCGGATACACTCCCGATCGGACACATTTTGTATCGGACACATATGGTTGCAATCGGACACAGATTCTATCGGACACAGTCCCGATCGGACACAGGCTCGATCGGACACTTTTACATCGGACACATATGGTTGCAATCGGACACAGATTCTATCGGACACAGTCCCGATCAGACACAGGCTCCATCGGACACAGGCCCGATCGGACACAGGCCCGATCGGACACGGAGTCGATCGGACACAGGCCCGATCGGACACATTTCGTATCAGGTTTGCGTATTTCTGTAAAGCACAATATTCTCGTGTGCGTATGGACTTACAAATGATGGAAAATTATCAGCTTTACAGAACAGTTAACCTGGGTTAAATATATTTTTAAAAAAAGGTAAAAAAAAGCACCAAGTCTAAGCTCCAATTCAACCGAATATATTTTGTTACTCTATCTTTTTTGCAAAAGTATAATCTCTACAAAAATATCTTTACTGCAAAAGTATCTTCCTTACAAAAATAGTGTCTCCACAAAAATCTTCTGTACAAAAATATCTTCTCTACAAAACTATCTTCTCTACAAAAGTAATGATATCAACAAATTGCGCCAAATAAAACAGCGGATATTTATACAAACTAGTTGCTTTAGCATTAGTTTTTGATTAAAAAATGTTATATTTCTACAAAAATCAAACTAAAGATTTTATTGGAAAAAATAATCGAGTTAATAATAAAACACCGATGAAAAGAATAGCAACTGTTTAGAAATTTAGAAACTCTGTATCTATTCAGGCGAATTAAGGCCTGTGTCCATGACGCTAGTACTTGGTCGAAGTTCTAATTCCGCGAAATATGTAGTCAATCAATGTAGCTGTTCCACAAAAGCTGCAAGTTGATTGGCTACGCATTCCTCAAAACTAGAACTTGGACCAAGTACTAGCGTCATAGACACACGCCTTAATTCGCCTGAACA